AGCATCTGAAAGGGTAATAGGAGGAGTTCTCTCTCTATTTTCTGGTTTTCTCTCGAACTCAAAAATGGACTTGGTAGCCTCAACTATTCCGGGTAATTCTAACACATAATCTTATTATAGTGTTTATTTATCACTTGTCATATTAAGAATTAGATTCTATTTTTCCTTCAGGTTGCACATAAATTTCAAGGTGAGTGTTGGTAATAAATCAATACAGGCCTTAATTGCTTCAACCATCGACTACATTCCATCTACTCATATTCGTAGTATATAAATTTACCAGAAAAACATAACATTGAATTATAAGATCTACTCCAACACAAACTCAATTACATGTGAATTTTTCCTTGTTACCCACCACAACTTTCAATAGTGGGGTTAGGTCACTTTAATTCATAAAAATTAAGCCACTCTTTGTTGGATGAAATTATGAATACTCTCACCATCCACAAGCACTTGGACTTGATACTGAGACATTTGGCCTATTATCTTCAATATTTCTAGGGCTTCTATTCGCTAGACTAAGGTCCCCTTCAAGGTTGGGCTTAGGTGTCACAACACCCTAATCTAATAACAACAATTCAATTGAGATGTGCTATCAAACGGAGGGTTGTCTTCTTCTTCTTGAAAAATGAGCATAAAAAATTTTGCTTTACATCAATGTTTGTTAGCAAGTATACTAGTCAATATATATATATATATATATATATATATATATATATATATTAAAAAAAAGATTCTCATATTGAGTTCTCAAAATATTATTCCACATATATTGTTTCTAATTACTGAGAACATCATAATTTAATTGCTTGAACTAAAATAATGTGCAATAAAATAAGAGGAATTATATAAAGGTTTAAAATAAGAAGATTAATTGAAAGAGAAAAAGAATGCAACGTAACTTTTGACACAAAAACTATTCTAGATAAACTTTGGCATATATTTTCACTTTACACCTTTTTATATTTACTTTTAACTTCAATCCTAGTTTTCCTATGATTGTCAATCACTTATACTAAAACTATTAATACTCAATGGTCATGCAATATTAATATTATTTTTTATAAACTTACACCTCTAGTGGTCATGTAAGAAAAAAAAGGGCCAAAACATACAAAATTCTAAGTTTGTTAATTTAACAATCTATTGAAAGTAAAATTAAGTTTGGTCCATTTAATTCTTTATCCCATATTATCTTATAAGTCTATTAACTATAAGTGGTATGATGGCCTATAATGCAATCAATTATTATATATTAAGAGTGATCAATTCCAAACATACAAATATAACCACACTAAAAAAAAACCAATTGAAAAGGAAACTACAAGGATTATTAAACCAAAAGATCATATAAATTGTGCAAAGGATTCACGGTAACCCAAACTATGAATTTAGCTACTTATAATGAAATAGGAAAAGAAAATAATCCATGTTCATTTAAAAAGAAAACACAAACTAAAGAAATCTCAAAGGAAAATAAATGAAGATAATTTTTGTTCCAAAAAAGGTTTTTTCGATCACTTGTTTAGACTTTGGAAAGGTATCATTTATCTTTACCAATGATCTCCACTTCCCCAAAAGTCATCAAAAGTCGGCTAAGAAAAGGTTCTCAAGTTACAGACTTTGGTTGTCCTTAAATAGGGTTCTCTAGCCCTTAAAAGTCTCTCAATTAGTTACACTAGGAGATAAATACCACCATGCATGACCACAAAGTACTTCTAAACTAACATATTAACCAATATCGTGCTTCTTGTTAAGCGCGACCCTACTTTCAATCAAATTGCAACCAAAGAGTGGTGAGCAAAAAAGGCCAAAGAGGAGGAGACCTACATTTATGCATCCTGTGAATGTCTCAGACATTCTCTTCATGAAGTCAGGCTAACCCAACTACTTGAGACAAGGTGGTGGATTCTTGTGCCATCACTTCATGTTTGATATTGAGTTTGAGTCCAAAAATTAAACTATTCAAAAGGAATGATGGGAGTAATCCCACAATGCGATTAACAAGGGCTTTTAAATCGCTTAAATAGGAGGAAATAGAAGTAATCTGATCGGGGCAAAATTTGCTTGTAAAGCTTGAAGAGGTTCCACGAATGGATTTGGCCATTTCTTTGCATCCAGTGGAACTAGGCAAGTGTTGCACCATCCTTGTAAAATGAAGCCACAATATACATTCCTCCTCATGTGTTTGGTGATAGTAAAAAAACCGTGTGATCTTAAAGATCCATCTAAGACGATTCTATGGGATCGTGAACTTTTTGCTCTTCTTGTATAAGGCCTAAATTATTATTATCAACAAGGCCCATATCAGAATTTGTATTGGACATAACATTTGACATATGTCCTTATTTTGAAAGAGTAAGACGTTCATAATAATTAATTCCGTTTTTATTAATAAATTTTTATTTAAAATATTTATTATATTTTATGTGATAAATATTCTTTAAATAAAAGTTTATCATTTTTAATTACTTAAAATCAGCTGTAGGATTAAGATTTTTCTAATTAATAAATGAAAAAGTCTAGCAGAACATTTGGCTGCCATTGACTTGCCTCTCAGCAGCCATGATCGATGAAGTGTATGCTGGCTCGAGGAGACAAATTTATGCGCCTTTGCTTGCTTAGAAATTAGAAAGAAACGATTTCGTTCGTTAAACTAGGAACAATCAATAAGGTGGGAAAACTTGCGTATTGTAATAATCACATATCAACTTTTATCTTCCTTGTCTTTTTCTGACACATACACCTAACGCCCCAGAGAAAAGAAAATAAACTTGTTGGTTATAAGCACAGGAGATGATGATCAAAGAGTTGAAGTCCAGAGACCATAAGATTTTCGATTGATGCTAGCCAAAAAGCAAAAGTAACATGAATGTGTTCTAAAATGACTCTGAATGAACCTCAATCATGCTTAACAAGCATCTTCGATTTGCGTATGTCGATTAATGGCCCCATAAATCTCCTCATATATTATATATTATAGATATTAGGTAAAATCTTCATATACCCTTTATAATTGAAACTATTTGATACTTTCTCTTATACGTAACCATAGTCATCATTAATTTTATGTCTACTAATAGTAAAATAATAGTAGAATTAGTAGTTTAATTTAAAAAAATGTCTACAAATAAATCATAATCATTGATTTAAAAATATATAAAATATTCTCTTAAATTTATAGGTATTATAGCAATCACCTAGATATTATACTTATAAAATAAGGAAGTAAATGGTCCTTGGAAACAGTAGGGGCATGATAAGGGAAAGTTGAGATGGACCCAACTTTGCTTCTTTATTGGCTTCTTGCCCTAGCAATGATGGGATTCTCGAAGAGGAGCATAAAAGGCTAATTGGAGAGTGTGATGTTGTCATGCATTCCTTGTTTTGTGGTACCATAGTTTTGAAGTAGAAGAGTGAGGAAGTAATAAAAGGGATAGAAGATGAGGTAGTAGCAACTAGCATGTCAAGATTCTCATACCAAAAAGAATATGTTATGATGTAATGGGACCCCATGCATGCATATGTTTCTCATGCAATAGTTTGGGCCTCTGCACAAAAATCAACGTCTTTGCTTCTGTTATACGATGAATAATGAATTGTCTTCTTCCCTCAGCTTCTTATACTTTTACCTTGGATACCCAATATGCAATTCGATCTATATGTTGTGCTCTAATATTATTGCAACCGATTCTAGATTTTTAGTAACTAAAAAGCAGAATAATAATCTTGCACCGGTCACATAAAACTAGGGGGCGTTTGGTGGGAGATTCTTATAAGTTCTTTTAGGAATCTTAAGTCGAAAATGTAAAATTCTTTTTAAAAATTAGAAAATTAACATTTTTAAAAATATTTTTTAACTAATTTTCTTTAAAAATTTATTTTCATAGAAGAAGTAAAAATCAAAGATTCCCATAAAGGTAGAATATCTTTTATAATAAAATATATAATTATATCTCTTAATATTTTGAAAATTTAAACTTAATTTATGTTATTTCTCTATTTTATCATTATTGATTCAAAATTTGTATTGTTAAAATTAATTAACTTAGGTAATATATATATATATATATATATATATATATAATAAAGGTAGATTAATTAATTAGGCAATGTTTTATATATGATTTTAAAAAGTATTATTATACATTATAACAAATTATTATTATAAGGTAAACAATTTTTAATAATATAATTATTTTAGAATTAATTGGTTATTACACTAACTATTATTACAATTGAACGTATTTGTTGTAATTTAATATTAATTAATTGACTTTAACTAATTTATAATTTTAGATTTAAATAATTATATGGTCTTTATATGTAACTCAAATTTGTAAATTAGTCTATACATATAAAAAATTTATAAATTAATTTTCATACGTATATTTATTTTTAATTTAATATTTGTTATTAAATTTAAAGTAAATGATATTAAATAAATAAAAAATTAAATTAAAAATAAATATAATAAAAAAATTAAGACTAACTTACAAGTAAATTAATAAATTAATTTTTGTATATAAAAAATTTGTAAATTAATTTTCACACGATATTTAATTTCATTTTAGTCTAATTATTTTTAATTTAATCTTTACTTATTTAACGTTATTTATTTTAAATTTAATAGTAGAGGTTAAATCAAAAATAAATTTTAATATAATGTCTTATCTAAACCATAATTTTGTATTGATACGAAGAAGAAATATTCGCTATTAACTTTTTAAATGAATGCGAAATTGCGAATATCTGCTCTCGGGAACAAGTAGAAGCAAGGTGAGGGTATTGCACTTCTCAAAAGATCAATAAAAAAACATAGGAACAAGGAAACAAATGAATGAAGTGAAAAGCTAAAGAAGCCAAACCCAACAATAACGTTTGATTGTGCTCAGAACTGCAAGGTTGTTGGCACAAATTTAGGTTCTTTTAAGAACAAGAACAGTCACATTCACAGACAGATACATGGTTAGCAATTTGATTAGTGGCAAATGCAAATGGCAATGACTGAGCCTCAATGGAACACGCTCACGACGCTTTGTTCTGAAAATGGCTGGTCTTACGTCATATTCTGGCGCATTCATCCACAAAATTCCTTGTAAGCCTTTTCTTTTTTGTTTTTCCCTATGTTAACCATGTCTTTTTTCTTTTACATATAGATTTTCGATATGAGAATGATCACGCATTTCCTGCAGGTTGTTGAGCGTGGAAAATGTATATTATGGAGATCAATTGGGAGAAGAGATTGTCAACACGCTTCCAAAGGTTCACTTGATGGGCGAAGGGTACACTCATATTTTCTTTTTTTTCTATTTTGGATGAGATAAAGTGCAAATTTGAAATTTTAAACTTAAATGCATATTATATATGCCAATGGAAGACAAATGGGCTGATTTTGTTGTTATGTACCGTGTAGATTTGTTGGTCAAGCTGCTTTGACCGGCAAGCACAGATGGGTGCACTCAGATGCTCCAACTGAAGAATTGAGTGTGACTGGGTTGCACATTTTTGAGGTAATATTTTTTACTGTTTAATTGAAACCATTTCAACTTCTCATCTGTTTTTGTTTTTATTTTTAATTGATAATTTCCTTTCTTTCTGTAGGATGATTCTTGCTTGTATCAACAGTTCTCTTCTGGGATAAAGGTACCATAAGCACCAAGAAGGGAATTGTTTTTGATAATTGAACCTCCATGCCTTAAGAGTTTTTCATAGGCAAATGCTAACTAGCGTTTATAAATTTGTTGACATCAGTTCTTGGTCTAGTTTCATACAACTAAAAAAAGGTAACTTTTTATTTGAAAAGACATTATTTTTTACATAAAAAATATGAAAGTGTATTTTAGAAATGTAAAATCAGCCCTAAGGGCTGGTATTGACATTTTCTTTTCTCCTATGATTTCTAATGCACTCTTAACATGAATTTCAATATTTTATTTTATTCTTTAACTAGTGCAAAGGACCCCTTTTTCATAGACTCTCTTCCCATAATTTCCTTGGTTAAAGATACCATGGTAGTTTGTAATGTGTCTCAATAAAATACCATGTAAAATATACTTATTTAATTGTCTTTCCTCTTCAAAGTCCTAAACATTGTACATTGAGCTACTATTCTGATTTGCAGACAGTTGCGGTGATATCTGTTAAACCATGCAGAGTGGTACAATGTGGATCCAAAGAGAAGGTTAGTATCACAATTCACAAAAGTGCTTAAAGTTTATGTCATGGTGCATAAATGGATTTGAATGGACATCTTTTATCAAGATAAGTATTAGGGTATGTGCACAAACTTTAAATTGATGGATAAGAAAGTACTATAAAGAGGTTTATTTATATCTGACATTTAATGCAACAAGCATGCTTTCAGATAAGGATTCGCTTTAAAAAGTGTTGTAAATCTGCCATTTAATACAGGGAGCATTCTCAGGATGGTTTTATATAAAGAAAATGAATAATTATTAAAGCAGAGGCTGAGAATCTTAAATCTGCTTTTGTGTATTCAAATTTACTTATTCATATGGCTTTTGGTACTCTCAAAATTCATTGTATCCTTTAAAATCTTTTCAATTTATTACCTTTTTAAGCTTGTTAGTCTTCCAACAACATTTCATCTTGAAGACTAAGACGTAGAAAATTATACTCTTGTTTCAAGAACAGAAGGAGTATTCTAGAATCTAGGACAATTAGGTAAACCAGAAACACTGAAAACAACATTAGCATGGTGATGTTGTTCCCTATCTTTTTTATTCACTTGTGTTATTATCGGATGTCAGTCTGTGCCATGTTTTCATTTGTTTCATTTCTATGCATTGTGATTTTGCATGAAGAAATATTCCTCTGGAATAGCATTTCCATAGACCATATGAAAGCTTCAACTTGGAAATTCTACCGGAGTCAGCTGTTCCTAAATTAGGATGTTAGTTGGCATGCACACTTCACTTTAGCTATTTCATTATTAATTTATATGGTGACATGCCTTCTAAATTACCAGTAACTCATGTTATCTCTCAATTTTGTTTCCATCATAGCCACTAGTTATCTTTTGAATGATACATTAAAATGTTGGTTTATACCACCAATGCCTAAGTGCTAATGGATTATGATAATTTCATTGTTGCAGATTTTGGAGAGATTGGAATTTGTGGAAAAGACACAACGGTTGCTGATGGGGATACAAGATGATGAAGGTATTCTTGATGTACTGTCAAATACAGTTCTATCTTTGGACTCTGAAAGTTATGATCTAAATGGTTGTTGGCTTCCATTTGTTCAGAAAAATTATATGGTTGGAGTCTCAAATATGTTGACGGTGATAACTCCAAAATGTTTTTGGGAATGACATACTCCTCTGCAAGTCTTGATGATTCCTCCCCAATCATGGATAAGAATCTCAAAGAAGGGATGATTCCCATCCATGGATATTCCTCTCATCTTGGTGACCAACAGACATCTACCATAGCAGCTCACATACTCTCCTCGGATAAGGATAATACCAATTCTTCTATCACCAACTTAATTGCTAAAAATCCCAGTTTTGGGACATGGAGTGGTGAAGTTTCATCATTGGAGTCACTGGGGAAGCAACTGGTATCTGAAATAAGGACTCAAGATGTTGAAGATGTGCACGGCAAAATGGAAAATGCATTTTCTTGTGACAAACTTGCAGTTCAGGATTCAGAATTGACCTCATTATATAGTATGCATGGACTGTTAGGCACATTTCAAGACCAAATAGGAAATTCACCGGGTATCCAACATTCTGCTCAATCTAGTATTGTAACAGATAGTTTAAGTATGGTACATGAACTATCCAAGGACTTACAGCCAGTTGATATGTTAGAAGAACTTTTCAAGTTCTTCTCCATGGATGATCTCTGCCAATTGTTAGCTCCTTCTCCAGAGCACAGCATTTATGGAACCGTGACTGCATTGGATAAGTCACTAGAACTTAATCCTACATCTTTTGGTGTGGTTAGTAGTAGTGGTGCCCTTGATGATGAAGTTCCAGTCACATGTCAAGCTCCTCATAGTTCCCTCATAACTGCAGCAAACTTGGACGGTCAAGAAACATCTACATTTATGCATAGTTCTGGAAACAGTGCCTTGGACAGCATGGGAATTGATTTGAGCTGTGACCAAGCTGAGGATTGGTGGGGCAGTATGAGTACTGCTGCCACTGACACTGCTTTCTCTGATTGCATAGGTGGTTCAAGGAAAAGATTATTCTCGGAATTAGGAATTGAAGAGCTTTTGAATGGTTCCAATTTTGAAGATCAATTATCAACCAATAGGAAGAGGGTTGTTCCAGCACATGAGCAGCCTCAAAAGTCAGTGGAACACAATAAGGTGACAAGGAAGAGGGCTAGGCCAGGGGAAACAACTCGACCGAGACCTAAAGATCGTCAGCAAATTCAAGACCGTATTGAAGAATTGAGAGGGATCATCCCGAATGGTGGAAAGGTAAATGTACCTTTGTAAGTCCTTCTGTTAACTAGCAATTTTATTTTTATTTTTCATTTGGAACAAATTTAATTAGAATCTTAACTGCTGAAATTTTTGCTGCTAGACTATGATTTAGTCATTGACATGTTGACATATGTTTGTGCTGATGTAACAGTGTAGCATTGATCATCTGTTAGACCGAACCATCAGATACATGCTCTTCTTACAAAGCATCACAAAGTACGCAGATAAGCTATATGAACCCAATGAGCCTAAGGTAGTTGATTAAACCTTTTTCCACTACTAGCAAAAAGGAAAAGAAAATTCAGCATTCTGTTCTTCATTATCATCGCTAACAATTAAATATCGGTTTTATTTGCATCTTTAGCTAATTGAGCCCAAAAATGAAGAGGTTCTAAAAGATAGTAGCATGGGAGGTAGGAAAAAATGTGATGGTGGTATTACATGGGCATTTGAAGTAGGAGGTCAAACAATGGTATGCCCAATTATAGTTGAGGACATGGGTCCACCTGGCCAAATGCTTATAGAGGTAAGAAAATGAGTGCTATTCTTTTGATTTGATGACAGTATATTCATTGGCATTACTTGGTTGTAGATGCTTTGGGAAGAGCAGGGTTCCCTCCTTGAGATGGTGGACATCATTGGGGGCTTTGGGTTGAATATATTGAAGGGAAAGATGGAAATCAGGGAGAAAAAAATATGGGCACGCTTTATTGTTGAGGTAAATTTTGTTTAGAGTTCAAATATAATTCTACCAACATTAATTGAGTGCAATTCTCTCTCTCATTGTAAAATTTTTTCATTAAATCATACGATTATATGTTTAAATACTTATGGTTGTTTAGCAGAATTATATATTTTTAAGATCATTCATGGACTCACATAACAGTTAAATTAGGACAGTATCTACTGAAACGTAACTTTTTAATCTATATTACACTTTATTTACTATCATTGTGACTTCTAAACAAAGGTTTCCCTTCAAAAACTTTCAAGAACAATAGAGTAGTGTTTTTACAGCTTTTCAGCTTAATTAATTGCAAACTTCATCTTGAACAGACATGTGACGAGGATAGATGTATTTTTTTCCCTCTTTCATCTTCTACAGAAAACATAGACACCTAGAGTGGATTCAGCTAATAAGCATTGTAACATTAGTGATGCTGGTTTTTCCTCAATGAGCAATTATGGGAAAACAGACATGCCACTACTACCCATTGTCATGACAGAGACACTTGGATGATTGTCAATTACTTGCTTGCTAAGATGGGTGTTTTGAAAATAAAATACCAGGGAAGAAGCATGACCAGCATGAAGATATAATTATTTAAATAATTATATATGTGATTCTAGTGGATACACTTGGGAAAATAGGGCAGGGTGGTCTTTATGCCCATGTAAATGATGAAATGTGATTATGATATAGTAATTCGACATTGTAATGGATTGGACCAGATAATTTCACTTAGGCTAACCACAAATTCTTCCCCCTAGTCAGTGTTTTATGCTGGCTCTTCTATGATGTAACACGAATGGAAAATAGAAGGTTGATTGTGTCGAAATTGCTAGGTGACATGTTTCTTGTTATTATGTTGTTTCTTCTGTCATGTTTCTTGAACTAGCTTTGAAAGGAAAGAAAATATGAAAAAAGATATATTTTCTTTTGTTTGGTTGGAGAGAAATTTTGACTTTCAGAAATAAAAATTCAAAATTTTCTCTCCACTCATTTTCTTACACATGAAACAAGGGTTGAGTTAGAAAACTTGAATTTCTATCCATCCCAAGTTAAAACAAGCAATTTGTCACAATTTGTCACCTGATGGCTTTGTATGTTACAGATTATGCAACCGATTGATGCATCTGCAAAGAAGTTTATGAATCTATTTATATCTCATTCATAAAATTAAAATAATCAGTCAAATATTACTCTTGTTATAATTATTTAAATAAACTCTTTAATACATGCTTCATTAGTATAAATATTTTATTTATTATATCCAAATTCTTATATAAATAAAAAGATATTAGTGTGAAAACATAACATTTAATATTATTTTACATTTTAACAGGAATGAGTAAATAAAATAAAATTTTATCTTCTATCTTCTATCTGGATAAATAAATAGTAGTTTGGAGTGATAACTGGTCTCTCCAAGTGCCATAATTTGAAGTTTCTATGTGAAGTGACTTGGGAGTGATGTACCAATTAGGCAAGTATAATCGATGGTGACAACACCATACACACTATTGTGGTGGTGTTAGGTAAGAAGATATACGATCTTTCTTCTGTGGAAGTTTTCCAAAAGAAAAATTGTGATGACAATATTATCATAGAAAAGACCTTTTGATATTAGGATTGGCAATTCAGAAAGAGTCCAATGGCAGTGAAGGAGATAAGTGCTCTATTATACATATATATAATTCCAAAGTGCAATCAGCAGAGACCAACGGGGAATTATCCATTTTTAATTCCAAAAGTCTTGGCTGTCTCCAAATGTTTCAAGCTTTGAAAAATAGAAAGGTCTTATTCATGACCTAATTTGAAGTTAATTTGTGAGGTACGAAAAATACACACAAAGAAAACTTGCTTAAAATTTTAACGTAGTGCTCTTGTCCTAATTCCTAATTTTCTTATCCTAATGAACGCGCCACTATGAATGGGCTTATAAGTTTATGCGATTTACACGCAATCAAAGGTAGCAACGGTGCCACTATGTTCAAGCTTTTTGAGAATTTGATGGATTAGAGATAAATTGTGTATATTCTGATTGACAAATGTTGGTTTTAGGTCAATAAATTAAAGAAAAAGTTTAATGCTTTGATATACAATATAGTTACATGCAAGTGCTTCATGACTCGCACGATATATCTCATCTTATATATAGAATAGGCATTTTCATATTGTATTTTTATGTATTAATGCAAATTTCCAAGATACCGTTTGCAGGCAATAGTGGAACTCGCTTGTTGGTGTCATTTTATACCCAAAAGAGAAATAATATGTATACAGATGAATTCTCATTTATGTAATTTTATCATATAAAATTATAAACATTTGCTTTACACATAGCTACTTTACTTTTTCATGCTATAATGAAAAAATTCATGATAAATTTTCAATTCTATAAAATTTGTTGTCTTATTTACTTTTTTTTTACCTTAGGCTTAGATTAATAAACTCATTTTGGCTCAAAATATTTCTATTTCAATTCTTGATTTGTAATTGTGATCCATTGATGATTTTTTCTACCTGCTTAAAATATTTAGATATTTTACTTTGGAATTAAATGGACAGCTGCACTGGTGGTTTAATAAGATTGAACATTTATAGATAACTCAACATTAAAATTAGATAAACTCAGGCACTAAATTAAGAAATTTGAGCCTAACTCTAAAAAATTAACTCACAGAAATTATGTTTAATTAATTTTTAAGAGCTAATTTATAGACGGATGATTACCCTATTTTTTATGAAAAGTATTTTAACTTTATTTATAACTAAGGTGAGATATTTTAATAAAAACAAAGTAAATTAATTTTATATTATTTTCTTTTAAATCCGTTAGAAGGGGCATGAAGAAAAATAGTGTATGTTTTTATAATTATTAGTAAAGATACATGCAGTAAAAATTAAAATTTGTACACAAATAAAACTCACCTTAAACACATGTATATATCTATTGTGCGTGTATACCTTTTTGTTCACGTGTAAGACAGAGAAAAGCAAAGGAAAAAGATGTTACCCACTTGTGTCCAACAATTTTATTGAACAATCCTCACAGTCACAATCATTTAGACATAATTTTGTTATTTGAATATTTAAAATTTGATACAATTATCATTATTTAATTATTTATTTAAAGGAAAATATTATGCAAGTGGAAAAGGTATAATCATATAATTTGCTCAAATTAGTTGTTAAATTTCTTATTTTATTTTGTTTACATGTCCACAGGAAAAAATTGTTTCTATTTATTTATTTAAATAAAAGTTTGAGATAATAATAATTACTATTCTTCCATTAATAACTTTTTGTTCATTTAAAATTATACAATTTAAGTAGTTTAAAATTAAAATAGAAATCCATTAATAGTGTAAATAAATAAGTTTAGTAATTAATATCAACAAAATGATTGATAAGAATATATGGAGTAAATAGTCATTTTGATTTTAACTTTGTATTAACTTTCATCTTTAACATCTTAACAAAATTTATTTTAGTCCTTAACATTGTAAAATATAATAAAATTGTTTCCCGTAGACAAAAGATATATATAGAAAAGGACTCCGATTAAAAATTTTATTATATTTAATAAAATATTAGGAAGTAAAATATTTTTTAAAAATTTGGGAACAAAAATGAAAATTAATTACAGAGTTAGAAATTAAAATAAATATTAACCCAAAGTAAATATTTTATATAAAAAAATAGTAGAATAGTAATAATAAATAAAAAGGAATAAATTTTCCTTCTCTCTCAACAAAATGTAAAAAAAAAAATTTTCTAAAAATAAAAATACTCTCTAAAATTTTAAAAAAATACAAAAAAATATCCCACATTAAATGTGCTAGAAACATTTACGACAAAATTATATTTTTGGTCTTTCAACTTTTACACTTTTTTTAGTTTTACTCCGTTGACTCTTAAAAGTATTAATGTGATTCTTTAACTTTTTAAAATATTTTAAACAATGTCTTTTATCGTTGAAAATATTACTTTTAGTAATTTTTTTATATTCCATCACATGTATTATTATTTTTTTTTTATTTAGATTTATTTTCTCTTTTCTTCTTACCTCTTCTTCTCCTTTTCTTTCTCGTGCTTATGTCTTTTTCCTTTATTTTTTTTTTCGCCATTATAAAACATTATTACCTCTCACTTAACCCATTAACATGACTCATATTTGAAAACATGTTTCAGCTTGAATATGCTTCGTTGTAGTCTCACTCATTTATCATGTAGTTCCAATGAAGCCCTATTAACACTAACACTCTAGTCATTTTTTATTGTCTAAAAACTCCATGCGGTGGAAGAGATAAAGAGAAAGAAGAAAAAGAGTAAGAGAAAAATGAGGAGGTAGAGGACGAAAAGAAAAGAAAAACTAAATTTTGAAGAAAATGAACAGTACACGTAAAAAATAAATAAACAAATTAACATAATTAACGTCTTCGAAGAAAAAAGAATCCATTAAAAGAATTTTAAAAAATTAGAGAACTGAATTGAAATTTTAAAAACTTAAGAAATAAAAACAGAAAATTTATAAAAGTTAGACCATCGAAAATAAAAAATTGTTTTCACTTAAAAAGAACACTACACTCAAGCACGGTGCCAATGAATTTAATATGAAGTTTTGATAACGACAACTGCGATGCACCCCACTCTTAACATACATATAAATATGTGTATACTCCACAGTCACCTGTGAAGTTAACGTTCTCATACATATTTTAGAAGTTCCACTTGGATAACAAAACATGGGTGATGAAAAGAAAGTAGAATGGAGAATTAGGATGGGAGATATGGGTTCATCAGAGAGAGAAAAGCAAGCTTGCATGTCAGGGCTTGGTTTCAAGGTGGGAAAGTTTGTTAAGAAAGCATGGGAATTGGGAGTGAATGACCCCAGAAAGTTCATCCATTGCTTGAAGGTGGGAATAGCACTCACCACTGTTTCTCTTGTTTACTACATGAAGCCTTTGTACGATGAATTGGGAGGAAATGCTATGTGGGCTGTCATGACTGTGATTGTAGTCTTTGAGAACACAGCAGGTACGTTGTGCTAGCTATTCTCTTCCTAACATTATTATTATTAGCAATGCTAACAATACATCTTTTAACATATTTCTTATAGTTAATATTTATTGAAAATTACAAAAATTATGAGTTTTATTCTTAAATTGCAGGTGCTACTTTATGCAAATCTATAAACAGGATCTGTGGAACTTCCCTTGCTGGGTTTCTAGGCTTTGGCGTTCATTGGGTAGCTAGAAGAGCAGGAGAACAACTTGAACCGCTAATTGTTGGCGTATCAGTCTTTCTGTTAGGTATATTAATATATGTTTTCTATGGTTTTACACGTATTTCTTGGTTGGAGATAATCTTATTTCAGTCACAAATATTAAATGTGAGTGTGTCTCTCAACAGAAATTTAAACCTTGGTTCATCACTCCATGAATTTTACTAAACTCAACTCTAATTTTTTAAGATTTTTTATTTATTTATTAATTAATTTCAGTATCGAGCATTGGTTAACGAGAGACATATGATTTATGTATAAACAAAAATAAACTCTGTAAATATATAACAATAATTTTATTTTATTTTTGCTTTTCTTTCAAATTATTTGTACAAACCTAGCTATCATTTGTGATTACACACTAACTCATTGCTAAAATTGATCTGTCTTCAGCTTCCGCAGCAACATTCTCCAGATTCATCCCCACAGTAAAGGCTCGTTTTGACTATGGTGCAATGATATTTATCCTCACTTTCAGCTTGGTTTCAGTTTCCGGTCATCGGATTGATAAATTGTTTGATATGGCACAGAATAGATTATCTACCATTGTAATGGGCACTTCATTGTGCATAGTCATCAGCATGACCATTTGTCCCATCTGGGCTGGTCAGGAGCTTTATGTGTTAACTTCTGAAAACCTAGACAAACTGGCCAATTCCTTACACGGTGAGTCTTCAATGTTAGTAATTTAAAAATTTTCTTACATTAATGAGAAATTAACTGTTGATTTACCGATACCATCATTGTTATAATGTACACAAGTATACATCTATGTATTTTTCAGGTTGTGTGGCTACGTACTTTACTTCCAGCGAGGCCCCACTAGCTGAATGTGATGATAAGAAGTTGCTGGGATACAAGTGTGTGCTAAGTTCCAAAGCAACAGAAGATTCTATGGTACACACTAAACGTGCCACAAAGGGTGTGTGTGTGTTGATTAAGTTATATTTAAAGTTTGACAATATTATTGTTAACTGGTGCTGTGTAGGCTAATTTTGCTAGATGGGAGCCAGCTCATGGTTGCTTTAGCTTCCGGCACCCATGGAAGCAATATCTTAAAATTGGTGCATCCATGCGCTGTTGTGCCTCCGTCATAGATGCTCTTATTGGATGCATCAATTCAGGAAACAAGGTAATATCTGAATTTCTAAAATTCAAATGCTAGCAAGTCCTTTATGTGCATCGTTTCAGTGAATATTAACTGTACCAAATTGTCAATAAAAATTTTAAAAAAATATTAATATCAACCCTTAAGGTTGATAAAAGTTTATTACTTTTAAATACTTAAAATTAATTTTAAAGGCTAATGTAAACAAAGTTGAAAACTACAAGTTATTTTATATTCAAAAGGTAATTTTCTATAAATAACTTTTTTAGCCTCAAACTGTGTGAGATATATTAATTAATAACAACCAATAAATTTACATAATTTGAGCAGGCCCCAAATGACATCAAGAAGCACATCAGCAACATCTCATTAAAAGTGGGAGCCAACTCTGCTGGTGTCATAAGAGAGTTAGCAAATACTATCAGAAATATGAAAATATCCTCTGAAGTTGGTATGTTAGTTGCAGAGATGAATAGTTCAGCCCAAGAGCTACAGGATGCAATAAAATCTTATCCAAACATGGTTATCCCACCCTCATCATGTAATGCCCCAGGCACAGAAACAGAAGCACCACACTCTGGAGAAATGGCTCCAAAAATGGAAATCTCACTCATGGACATTATTCAAGTGGTTACAATTGCTTCTTTGCTTATTGAAATTGTAACCCGTGTGCAAGGCATTGTGAACACTGTTGAAGAACTATCAGACTTGGCTAAATTCAAGAAAGTGGAGCGCACCAAAACCAAAGAAAGTATAGGATCCAACAAGTCCTTCCCCCACGAACATGAAAGTGAAAAAGCCATAACCAGAGTCGTCTGAAAATTGAAAAATATATATTCCTCGCATATTCTTTGATATAATATACCCTTAATGATCGTATAATATATAAGACTGTGAAAAACAAGAAAAACAATCTGAACTGGACCTGGTTTTGACAAAGGTCACGGAATCACAAACACCACTCCATGAACTTGTGTAAGGTTGTATGCTTACCTCGTGTTAACTAGCTACAATTGGGTAATCAGAGTATTAATATTAATTAGCGTAGGTATCTATTGTATTTAGCTAAATCAAAATAGTATTTGATTGTATATTCTCTATATATTTCACAGGCTTGTAAATATATATGTAGTCCATTTTTATTAGACATTCCACAAACAACATATTCATATATTTCATCCTTACCTAAATTCTTGCAATTTAACTTGATATTCTAGAGTTGTGAGAATTTTTTTTATAAGCTAACTAAATTTATTAAAAGAGTACAAGAAGTATGTAAATACTGCATTTTGTCCTAACCTTTTCTTCAATTTCAAAAAGAAATAAGAACTTTACAAAATAGAAAATTATAAAATAAAAATAATAAATATATAAGAAGTATGTAATTACAAACAAGTCTTGTTGGGAGCTTTTCTTCCCTTCTATAATTTTATTATGCACATATTTTTAATTTTAAAATAAACATTTATAATTTAATAATAAAATGTTAAAATATTATATTTAAATCAATAATTATACATATATAATTTAATATTCGTATGTTTATAAGATAGTAAAGTGAGCTTTTTTAAATACTCTATAAAATAAAATTGTCTAATATATTCAAATAATATTTGTGAACTAAAATATGAAAGTTTAATATTATTTTTCAATCTTCCCACGTTTTATAGCTCTTTAATAGTAGATCGATGCTTGTGCTGCTGGATTTTCATTATTTGCATCTATGTTGTCATGACCTTGTACAAACATTCTTTTTATTAGAGTAATGTTCAAGCGTGATAATGATCCAACAGTCCTATAATAGAAACATATATACTTATATTATTACACAATTTATTTTCAAACATATTATTAAAAAAGTATATATATATATATATATATATATATATATATATATATATATATATATAGTGTTTACTAAATTTCAATGTTAATCATATTGACGTTAATAGTATCATGATAATAAAGGTGTTAATTTCTTTTTATTTTTATTATTTTTAATTTCTTTTTGCTTTCTAATTAAAAAGACAATAATAACAATGGAGGACACTATTTATATGGCCAAAACACCACTAGAGAAACCATGGATTCAGAAAATATTATTTAGAGACAAGGTCATAGGAGTCAAGTTTCACTCACGCCACAACTAAAGATGGATTTATTGCAAAAGCATGTGGAACTAGAAGAGGGTAATAGACAAAAGTCGAAGGTATATGTTGATGATAAAGTGTTTCGTGAACTATGCTAGTCATGAAAGTATGCTTAGTAATCAAGTTGCTAAGTAAAAATGTAGGGTTCAATGTAATGAAGGAACATTTGAAGCAATTGTGTAAGTTTATTGAGGACTTTGACATCATGAATGTGGCTAATAGATTTTATATGATTAAATTAGACCATTACGCTGATAGAGAGATGGTGACTAATGGAAGGATGATCTTTCATCACTAGCTCACTATCACGAATTGGTCCCCAGAGTTTATTGACCAAAGTTTGTTTTCCTATCTGCCAAAGTAACTTGTACATTTGCATAGATTCATTTTTCAAGTATGAATTTGGTCTTTTATGATGAAAGCTTTCTCTTAGCAATGGCTTCCGTGGTGGGCACACATGTTCATGTTGACAAGAATTCATTGAATGTGGACATAGGGAAGGTTTGTGTGAAGTTGGATTTAACCTAACCAATGGTGGGTAAGGTTTGCTTAAAAGGTCACTAGTACAAGGTAGAATATGAGGGGCTTTACGTGATTTGTTCTCAGTGTGAATGTTATGGCCATCATGCGAGAGATTGGCGGATTACATTGCCTCCAGTGTCCCACTAGAGGTGGTGGATGAAACGGTACAACAAGGGACAAACATAAAAATTGGAATAGTTGCAAATAATAAGGATAATGATAATAATGAAAAAATCATGGAGGGAAACAATCATGTTATTATAATGGTGACAAAAAGTAAGGATGATGACAAGGTACATGGAGAGTGACTTGTGGCTATCAGGCAGAAAAAATCTAACCTCAAAACAACTGGACCCAAGAAAGGTAGACCACATCACAAAGAGCTTGCAGAGAAAAAAGAAAAGGCTATATATTTTGGAGACTTCTAATATTATCTCTTAAAAGAATGAAGACTCACAAGTCAAAATTCTCAAATTCAGTAATATTTAAAAAAAACAAAGGGATGATCTTCATACCGTTAGCCATGGAAAAAAAGAGATGAAAAGGCAACAAGTAGCAAGCCCTCAGTCACTACTAGAAAACTCAAAAATATAGACGGATTTACAGACGGATTTTTTCACTCTTACAGACGGATTTTAGCATTACAGACGGATTTATTGACGGCTACAGTCCGTCTATAATATGCGCGTCGGTAAATAATTACAGACGGATTTAAAAATCTGTCTGTAATTTACAGACAGAAAAATCTGTCTGTAATACAGACGGCAAAATCTGTCTGTATTACAGACGAAAAAATCCGTCTGTATTACATTTATTTATGAAATTTCAAAAAAATTGTTTCATTTTTTTTATAAACATAATTATTTCTCGCTGTTCCTAATTATCACAATTTATAAACATAATAAAAACTACAAAACTATATATTTAAAATTAAAAGTTATTTATAAAATGTAAAATTAAAATTTCATTACAAAGAAAGAAGTAAACATCTAAAAAAATAATATGAAAAATAAAATAACATTGTAAATAACTAATAATCGGCGTGATCATCTTCTGAAAAAGTATCGTCATCAGTTGAGGAGGAATGACGCATGGAGCTGAAGATTGGTGGTGTTGGAGTTGGTGGAGGAGGAGGAAGAGATGTAGAGGTGCTTGCTCTCATGAGCTCAAAGTATGCATGCATCTGCTGCATCTGCATATGCTGTTGCTGCATCTGTTGCTGCACCTCCCTCTGCATCCTTGATACCACCTTCTTCTCTATCTTCTTCTCCATTTTCTTCGCCCACTTCTTCTTCCATGCACTTTCCTTGCTCTTCCACATCTCTTCATTTTGCTTCTGCAGTTCTTCATTGAGGGCATGGACCTGAGTGCGGACCATCTCCTCCACTTCTTCAGGTACAAGAGAAGAGGCATCTCCGGTGACAGATGCAGGAGACATAGAGTCTGCAAAGCGACTCCCCATGCCATAAATTTGGCCTTTATAAAGCCCACCCACCGTCTCTGACCATATAGTATCATGGTCAACTGACTCTGGATCTTGAGAAGATGCCTCCTCAAGTCTTTGAACATAGTCATCCTATAATTCAATGCAGATAATTATATATTAGTCTCGAATACTATATAATAAATCATTAATAATAATATATAGTGTCAATAAGGATAACTTACATATGTGGCCTGAGATCGTGTATCAACCCACAAGGTTTTGTCTCCCTTGCGAGTATGTGTCTCCTTGAACACCTCTCCATGTGTAGGTGGTCTCTTCAGTGACTTTTCCTGCAATTTCAATTAAATCACCGTGTCACTCATATATATTAGATTGAATAACATAAATTTTAAAAGAAAATTAAAAATCACATACCAAGTTCGCTTTAGTGCCAGCCAAAGTCGTAGAACCACCAGTATGCAATGATCCTCCTTTCAAGGATGCCCTGTTTGTTTTATTCTTTACAGAGAGATTTTTAAACTCATCCGTACCCCAATACTCCTGCAAGACATGAAGGAAGTTGGGTGCTATCCAATCAGCAGATGATGGATCCTGATGGGCCTCAGTGTACATCTGTCTTAGGCACTTTGCAGTGCGACTCTTCCATGCCTTGAAAATCATCTTTTCATCCTGGGGGGGAATGGAGAAGTTGCTCTACATAAATACAATTTCATTAGAAGAATTACAAGAAATAATATCTAATTACACTTAGCTGGAATTAATTATCTGTTATTACCTTCCAATCTTTAAACCATTCCATCTTTGTATCCTTAGGCACCTTTGCAAAACTTGTGTAAGGCGCATCAAACATCTTCTTAATGGTATCTGTCACCTGGTGGAGACCCTTCTGTGGTGGAATCCAACTTAACACACAATAAAATAATACAATTACTATAATTTGTTTAAAACAAATAGAGTTATTATTTATATTTTAAATTTAACTTACCAAGTAGACTCATCCCATCTTAAAGTTGGAAGTGATCTAGATGATGCCTGGGTCTGTGATGATTGCTGTCCACTTACAGCTGGGACAGCAGTGGATCCCTCACCTGTGCCTTGTGTAGAAGGAGGTTGTGTGGCATGTGTAGTCGGCAGTGAAGGGGGAAGAGCAACATACCCAGGGTTGGGCACCATGATAAACTGTTCCTGTCCCCTATCCTGCGAGGTCTGCATAGTAGCTGGTGTAGAAGTAGAAGTGGGAGCGGTGGGTGTAGCAGTGTTGCCACGATTAGGACCCTGCGTAACACCTTTCTTACCTTTACCTGCCATATCTGAAACAAATATAATACATGTTTAAAGACCAAATATACAAATACACAATATTGTATCAACCTTTTATTTTACATTACACAAATTTCTAATGTAAATTTTGACATAATCTCTCCCTAATATATGAATATTTTATTATATTTATTTACACTTAATAAAACATGTATCTAATGTAAATTTTGGCAAAATCTCCCCTAATATATGAATATTTTCTTATATTTGTTTACACTTAATAAAATAAATTTCTAATGTAAATTTTGACATAATCTCCCCTAATATATGAATATTTTCCTATATTTGTTTACACGTACTTAATACAAAAATCTAAATTTTCTTTACACATAATCTATATATTATATAATAATCTATTAATCAATGCATCAAAAACATAC